CTTTTTAACGTGTCAGAGAAATCCAGGAGAACACACATGAGGGTTGGGAGAGAGGTTCCTGGATCTGCTGATGGGATCCGGCATTTGTCCTAGATGGAGCACGGAGCGGAATGAACAGGTCAGAAGGCGGCATCGGCTGCTGGAAGCAGAGGACGCTTCTGTTTAGGAGAAAAAGCCAAGGCTCTGCAGCGTCTGCGTGGACAAGAGGGGGCTCCGGGCCTGAGCTGGGGGAGCTTCTGAAGCAGTGCGGGCGGTGGTTAAGAGCAGGAATGTGCCAGAGCCTAGCTGGGCCACCTGCACACCTGGTGCGGTGTGGTCTTCCTCGTGGTAAAGCGCAGACGGTGGTGACGCCTGCCTCACGGGGACGCCGAGCTTTCGAGAAAGCAGTTCGTGTGTGTGAAGCAGGTGAAATGGTACTTAGGGCACAAAGGTTGCAGAGTGTTTTCTTTTATGATTATTAGGATGTAGCTGAGGTGGGGGGATCTTGAGTCGGGATATTCAGCCCCAAATAGCGTTGGGTGGGGGGTCTCTGCCCTAACCCAGCGCCTGATTTGTTAGGGGCTCAGTGTTGCCTTGTTCTTTCTGCGTTGGTCTTATCTACAGGGTGTGATGGGGAAGCTCTCGGCTCGGGTTCATGCGCCTCTTCTTTATTTCCAGGCAAAGGAAACCAACAGTAAGCAGAGAGAATTCGAAGAGACGGCAAAGAGAGTGCGCTGTGCCATCGAGCAGCTGGCCGCCACGGAGTGACCCTGCCGCCGCTGCGGAGTGACCCCGCTGTCCCGCTGCCGGGCGAGCTGCTCCCCATGTGGGGCGCGCTCCCTGCCGGGACCTTACCCAGCGCCTTAGGGGACAGGAACACCCACGATTTGAAATTAGAATATTTAAGCTAGACTTTTGCTTTTTTCTTGAAAGCAGTGCCGGGGCTGCTTCTCTTCAGGCAGCTGGTGCCGCTGAGTCCAGGAACCGATTCTCTCATTTTTCTTTGGTAGTTTTCGTGTGGTTGGTTCCTGGGCTTCTGGGGGTGAGAAGGTGAGCAGCGTGTTCTCACCCGCGGAGCCCTCCCGCGCGCCGCGTGGCCTTCAGGCTGACAGCCGGCTGCGCAGCCTGAGATCTGATGCCGGAACGTAATCATAGGTCCGTTGTGGCTGGACAAATAGAGAATTAAGGATGCCATTTTAGATTTTATCTGTCTGATAATCTGAATCTATGGTGCACATTTCTTGTGTTCCTGCTACTCTCCTTTATCTCACCTGGGTATCTCCAGGGCCTGCAGTGGTCCTCGACCCCGTCGGCTCTGGTTCAGCGGCCTCCCTGCCTGCCAGAGCGGATCAGACAACATGCCATCCCCTGCTGGGGCTCTGAGGTGCTGAGTGTGGGTCTTGCCTGTCTTGTCATTTTGGAATTTTCACAGGGAGCTAGGAATCTAACCCCAGGCTGCCTTGGGCCCCCAGGTGTGCCAGAGCCCTTCCGGCCCGGAACCCACGTGGCCGGGTGGGACGGAGGAGGCCTGATGTCTTGACAGCAAAGCCAGCCTCTGGTTTGGAAGTCAGCGGACGATCCATCCCCTCCAGCGTGTTCCACGGGCACATGGCAGGGTTGTCACATCTCTCTAACACAACAGAAAGATCCTTAATGCCAGTGCCTTTTCCAGAGGCCTGGCTCCTTGCTCTGAATGAGCTGTGATGCGGGTGGAGCAGGCAGACCTGGGACAGGAGACCCGCGGAAGGAATTCCTGGTCTTACGCTCCCATCGCTCTGCAGGTGGCCACTTCCCTCTCACCACATGGGTTAGGTGGCCGGTGAGGCACCTGTGCTTCTCCTGTGAAGCCCCCTCCAGGAGGACAGAGAGATCGATTAATCTAAAAAGTGCACTGGAAATGTCTTTTAGAGGAAATTTTTTGTAGATAACTTAGATATATTGCTTGTAGTCTTACCAGATCATGGATTTCCGTGACGTCACTTAGACCAGCGGCACTAACCTTGGCGGTTTGCTCTTCTGTAACGCGGGGTCACGAAGCCTGCACCACCGCAGTTGGCCTGTGCGGGTGCGGGATGCGTGCGTGGGGGGGCGTGACACAGCGTCCCAGCTTCTTGGGCTCCGCAAAGTCGCTCTCTTGTTTTGTTGGAATTACTGCTTCGCAGAACACCACAAAGTACAATGAGAGTGAGCACGAAGCCATTCTCAGTCCTCGGGGAAATCCGTGGGAGCCTCAGGTGGCTCTGGAGACCAGGCAGCCGGAAGCAGGAGCAGAAGCCGGCCCGAGAGAAACTGCTGCATTAGATGCCCTCATCTGCCGGCCCCGCTCGCGGCTCCCGCCCCTACAGCAATGCAGAGGCCTGAATCCTTTTGAAATCACTTGACTCCGAGCCGTGGGGACTTGGGCTGCTGCGGGTGACCCGTCAGCTCCAGGTGGCCGTGTCTCCGCGGCTGCTACCCGCCCCCCCCGCGCATCTGCCTTCTCCCCGTCCACGTCCCTCCCCGAGGCCGGCTCACTGGTGGCTGAAGCCTGGTGTTACGGGACAGATTATATCCGTCCCTCCGCGAAGTGGAGCTGCAGGGTGGGTTGTGAACGGCCCTACTGGAGGTCATCATGTTGTTTTGGAAAAATAAAAACCATTTCGTTTCTAACACAGCTGCAGACCCTACTGGGTTTTTAAAATCCTGTCAGGTCTGCGTGGTGGTTCCTGGCCCGCCACCTGCGCTTCCCGCCCACAGGCTTGCGGGGCCTCCGGGCTGGGATGAGCCCCCGCAGACAAGAAGCCGACCCTGGCCTACAAGGCCCGCCCGTGTGTGTCCCCTGCGCCCGTTCTGGCTGTGAACTGGCCATGCAAAATGTGTTTCAGACGCCGCTTTCTCCCACGTCTGTCAGAGAGGGAGGAGTGTTCTTCCCTCCAAGCTCAGAGGAAATTTACTGCAGTGGTTTCTGTTGGAGGAAAAACAGCTCTTTAGCCTTTGTACTCCTCTGAGCTGCTTAATTTTGATGTCTGTGCCCATCCGTCATGGGTCCTTCGCTGTAATAGCGGCCTTTACCGGTGGCTCCGTAGAGAAGCTGGCCCTTTGCACAGCGGGTGGTGATGGGGTTCTCGGCTTCGGCAGGCCGTGCTGTGGAGCAAGACCCAGCGGGAGCTGCCCCTCGGTCCATCTTACATGTTCCCCTCCTACAGAGGTATTGTCTAGAGGCCGTATTTATTCCCAGGCCTTCGTGACTGTCCTCTCGAAGCACGAAATAGACCTCCGTTAATCAAGCCACAAGCCTTTGCCAAGGCCCAAAGCCTCAGGGTTTTTTTCCTATATGTGTCTACTTTTGGGTTCTCCAGGTCTGTGAGAATCTGGAAGGGTCGTGACGGATGCTTATGGGCTGGCACGTGCAGAGCACGGTGTACAGGTTAGAGCCCTGCAGGCCAGCCTCGGGATCCGAATCCTCCAGCTGTCCCCAGCACTGACAAGTGCCAGGCCGACCCAAAGTGACCTGCCAAGCGTGGAGCCTTCAGACAGCGCCGGCAGGTTGGTACCCCCTTGGGTACCAACTCTTTTTAAGTGCAACTCTTTGCAGGTTGCACTTAAAAAAGAAAGAAGTCACAATTTGCCAGTAAAGTCTTAGGTGGTCTTACCTGCATTTTTTCATGCAGAAGTAGAGCCTCGCAAAGAGGTGGAGAAGCTTGTCCAAGATCATACGACGAAGGTCAAGGACGGGACCCAGGCCCGCTGGCCCCGGAGATGGGCCCTCCCTGGTGAATGTTGCGCCCCAGCCTTGCGGGTGTGGCCGGGGTCGGCTGCCTGACTCCAGAGCCGGGCCTGGCGCGAAACCATCCCCATGCCATTTTTCAGACCGCTTTGTCAGGCCTTCATTCTGCGGGACGGAAACCGGCCCCCCAAGGGTTCCATCGATCTTCCTAACACAGCATTTTAAAAAATTTCAAACTGAGATTCATGGGAACTTGAAAAGATGGTCCGAAGGGGCCCCACATACCCTTCACCCAGCTTGCTCTGCTGCGACGACCGTGAAACGTCTGTGCTTGCCTTTGACATCGAAGGTCTGAGCTGAGAAGAGGGTTCCATTGTGAGGCGCCTGGCTCTGAAACAGTGTTGCCATCACAAAGGGTTTCTTGTCTGGGGGGGGGTTGGGGGGGGAGGAGAGGGGGGCGATCTCGTTCTTAAAGCAAAGCGACTGCACGGTTGGTTCCCCCGCTGGTTCCCCCCCGGGGCTCGGCCTACAGCATTCGGGCCAGTTTTCAGCTGACCAGCCACACCGGGGCCTTAGCTTCTCTGGTTATGTTCCCCTTGACCCCCAAGGCGGGGACGTCTGTCCGCTCGTTCACGCCGATGCTTGAGCACTGACGGGAGCCACGAGCTGCGCCCGGGAACCGAGTGACGGCCGGGGAGCACTCAGTCTCCCGCGGCGAGCGCGGGCTCCAGGCCATGACCAGCAAATAGCCATGTGACGGGCGGACTGGGAAGACAACGCTGCCTTGAGTAGAGCACAAAAGGCCCGAGCTGTCTGTCCAGGGACCGGGAGGAGGCGGCCGACGACCGAAGCAGGGAAAGCTGTGTCCGGCGCGGGGAAGAGAAGCATGTGCTCCGGGGACTCCAGTGCGTGTCGTGATGTGGGGTCCTCCGTGGCACCCTCCCGTTTGCCTGGTAGCAAAGCTCCGTCGGAGGCCCGTGGGCAGACGCTGGCGAGTCCGATGTGGCCCTGAGGTGCCCTTCATAGATCCTGTTTCTTCCTGGGATGAGACTGACCCCGCGTGTGGCCGCCTCCCCGCCTGGCCGCCAGCCGCATCAGTGTGGAAGACCTCCGTGTCCGACCTACGACCTCCACCCCTTGAGAGCCCTGTAGCATGGCTGGTTTTGGCCAGAACAGCGTCTCGATGAGTCTCCCGGGGAGGACTGGCTCCACAGGGCACCCCGATTGCACGGCACCGGCCTGTGGGTGAATGAGCGAGGTCCGGCTTCTGGTGGAGTTTGCTGAGGGCGGCGGGCTGAGTTGCGGCTGAGCCGTGATGCTGCGGCTCCGTGATTTCTCCCGCAGTTTTGGCTGCTTCCTCAGCCCGGGGCTGGAGGTAATGCCCTGTGGCATCAGCCCGGAACGGGAGGCTCATCGGGCCCACAGCTGTCGCTGGGGTCAGGGTCCTTACCGCCCCTGAACAGCAAGTTGAATGCAAGTTTAAAAAAAAAAAAAAGGCTCGGGTGCAGCCCGGTTTCTTTTGTCACCTAAAATCGGAATTTCTTCCATCCAAAGGTCCCTCCTGTCCCTGATTTTGGTGGTGGTGGTCTGACGCGATCTCCGAAGAGGCCCTAGCGTCCTGGAGACGGGCTCGGTGCTTACCAAGTGGCCAACCGACACCTCCAACTATGGGTTATGAGCCGGTTGTAGGAGGACGACCAATGAAAAAGGGGGTCATTCCAAAGGGGCACTTTTTCAGAACCAGGCTAGGGTATAATCTGGGTCCATCTTAGGGACATAGACTGGTGGAATTCATCCAAGTAGCCCCGTGAGGACCACTGCCTGCTGCCTAGGGGACAAGGTGGTCAGTGGCTCCCGCTGCTCACTGGGTTTCGAGCACGGAACTTTAAAGCAGGGAGATAGGGTATAGACTGCTAACACGGCCGTCTATATACCGCATCGTGAGCGCGAGACGTGTCTATTCTTGTGTGCAGCTGTGTGGCTCGGAGCTGACAGTGGCCTCAAGCAGTGTGGTCCCCAGCCCTGCCAGCAGAACCCTCTTTTTTTTTTTTTTAAAGATTTTATTTATTTATTTGACAGAGATCACAAGTAGGCAGAGAACCAGGCAGAGAGAGAGGAGGAAGCAGGCTCCCTGCTGAGCAGAGAGCCCGATGCCGGGCTCGATCCCAGGACCCTGGGATCATGACCTGATCTGAAGGCAGAGGTTTTAACCCACTGAGCCACCCAGGCGCCCCCCAGCAGAATCCTCTTTATGGGGGTGCCAAGGAGACCCTTCCAGAAAGCTCGGGCTGACAGGCAGAGGTTGCTGGGAAAAAGCATATGGAGCTGCCGCCCAAGAGGGGCTCCTCCCATCCTCCCAGTCCCTCGATCATACCTTCAACACAGAAAACAAGGCTGTGACCCACTGAAGGCAGTGTGGATCCTTGTCACATTGTGGCTGAATGCTGGGGTCACTATTCACCTTCCCCCTGTCTTCCAGCAGGGGCCCTGCCCTGCCTCCTCGCTCCCCTCCCTCCCTCACCCCTCTCCCCTCCTGCTTTTGTAGAAGGCTGCCTGGAAGCAAGACTTCTCTTTCCATAGCCCCCTTGCCAGCCTGCCTAGGTCCTTTGCCCATCCACCTCGCCTCACTGGATCCCTTTGGTTAGTCCTGGAGACTGATATAGACCAGGAGCAGCCAGGGGTCAAGTGCCCCAGCCGGGGTGGCTGCCTCCCACCATTCAGGCTGCCAGCTTCCTGGCCAGCCAGGTCAACTGCCTGCTGAGCCCCCTCCTGAGACGACACAGGCCCCACCCTTCCTCCTCCTCAGCCCAGCCATTTGGCAGCTGAAAAACTGGAGGTTTGGAGAGAGTAAGACATCTGACAAGGGACCCACTCCAGCGACCAGCTCCTCGGGGATGCTGGGATTTGAACCCAGGTCTGGGGCAGGTCTGCCTGCAGCTCTGAGACTTCCATCCCTGCACCCGAGATCTGCAACCGCGTCGCTGAGAGGTGGGACCGATCTTCCTGTGAACCTGGGGGGTGTGTTGTGAGGCTGGCGCACAGGCAGGAAAGGGGGTGCTGCGTCCAGAAAAGCCTCGGAGTTGCAGCGCCAGCTTGCCCGCCCCAGCTCCCCGCATCCCCCCAACTGTGCCCCCTACTCCCTGGCGCCTCCTCCCTGGTCCAGTTCACCAAATCCCAGCCCCCCTTCCCCGGCCGGCCTCCCCTTCTCCCCGCTCTCCCACTCTCACTCCCAACGTCCTCTCTGCTCCCCAAATCCCTGACCCCACTCCTGGAGCGCCTGGCCCGGCTGGGCGCGCTGCTCAGCTTCGCGCTGCTGGCGGCCGCTGTGGCCAGCGACTACTGGTACGTCCTGGAGGTGGCGGACGCCGGCAACAGCACCGGGCGCGCCGTGCGGCTGTCCTCGCACTCGGGGCTCTGGCGCGTCTGCAAAGGTACGGCGGCCGGCCGGGGCGCAGAGGGCGCGGGCAGGGCAGCGCCCCTCCTGCCCCCACTCCCCATCCCGGACTCTGTCCTCTCCCAAAACTGGGCGGTGACAGTAGGGCTCAAAAATGAAAGGGTCGGGCGCCGGGCGGTTGGGGGGAGAAGGACATTTTGGGGCCCCCAGAACCTGGGGAGCAGGAGCCCTGGGCATTTCTTTGCCCTCCCTGGTGGGGGCGGGGGTGTCTTGTGTTAGGAGCTGCCAGCACATTGCTCGGTAGATGAGAAGCAGCCCCAGGCTCTCAGTGGGCTCTGCCTTTGGCTGCTGCCGGACGTGGCACCTCGTCCTTCCTCCGCCTCCAAGGCTTTGTCCGATGGGGAGAAGATGCTACTTCTCGGGATGCAAATCGGTGGGGGGTGGTTGGGTGAGGGAGGGCGGAAAGCAGGGGCAGGACCCCGCACCCAGGGCACTGGGCTGCTGTTCTTCCTCAAGCAGGGGTGCGGGCGCTGAGGTGGGAGAGGTGCGGGGCACTGGGGACCTCCGGGAAGGGCACGGTTCCACATCCAAGTGACCACAATTGTTTCTCAATTGCTGTCCCCAGAGGCTCAGCCTAGCACAGCCAGGGCCCCCGGAGTAAGACCCCTGTTCCTCTCTATCCCCCCACCCCCCTCCCCACCACCCGACGGCTTGACGAGCCCTTGGACACCAAACAGGAGTGCCTTGTACCTTTCACACCTGCGGAGAGAGGAGGGCTTTCCCTCCGCAAGGCCTGTGTGACGGGGTGACCAGCAGGCTGGGGGTCCTCCCCTGCACAGGACCAGCCCTGGGGGGCAGCAGTGTCTGTGAGAGCGTGTGAATGTGTGTGTGTGCATACACGTGAGCATAGGTCTGTGTGCGTGCAAGCGTGTGCGCATGTGTCTGAGAGTGTGTGTGTGTGCACGTGAGTGTACGTGTGGGTGACTATGCGTGTGTGTGGGCGTGCACGTGCATGACGATACCTTCCTTGGTGGCAGCTGGGGAGGAAAGACGAGCTGTTTGTTCATCCGCAGAACAGACTGTGCTGATTGCTCCAAAGCCCCCCTGATGTGTGCACGTGTGTGTGTGCAAATGTGGGTGGGTGTGCACGCGTGTGTGCAAGAGTCAGAGTCCACGTTACACACACCCTTTCCTGTCCAGGCAAAGCCACACGTGAGCCTGCTCAGGGCCCCAAGCCTAAGGGAGAGCTGAGGGCAGCGTCTCCGGGATGTTTGAATTTCAGACCGACATCTATGTAGGTGTATTTGTACGTTACAGAAACAAAACAGAAGGTCTTAAATCCTCCAAACCCACTTGGAGTCACAAACTCTGGGGTCCAGAAGAGAATCTGATGGGGCTCCGTGGCCACTGGCCAGCCCGCTGGGTTCGGGCGGGGCTGAGTGTGCTGTCCAGTGTGCCCGCAAGACCACCCATCTCAGAGGGACCCAGGGTGGGTGGTGACCCCACAGGGGTCCGGCCCCCCAGGCTTGTGTCCTTTCTGCTTTTTAGGGCAAAACAGCTGCATCCCCCTGATCAATCCCTTTACCAGTGAGAACCTGGATGTCCCCACCTCAGTGCAGCACCTCATCTGTGAGTCCCGGGCCCGAGTCACCGCTCCCCACCCCCGGTCTGTCCTTCATCTCCAGGCAAAACTGTCCTGCAAAGGTGGACCTCCAGGCAGACAGGGCTCTGCAGCGCTCACTTGGATCTGCCGGCTGGGGTATGGGGGCAGTGGGGGCCGGTCCAGGTCCCAGCCGGGACGCTGAGCCCCCTCTCCTGGCAGCCCTGCACCGAGCTGTCATGGTGACCCTGCCCCTGAGCCTCGTCCTCATCGTGTGTGGCTGGATCTGCGGCCTCTTGGGCTCCCTGGCGCGGAGTGTGGTCCTCCTCTTCTTCACTGGCTGCTACTTCTTGTTAGGAGGTGAGTGTGGGCGCCCTGGGGGCCACACGCCCTGGAAGTGGGAGTGCCTCCTTCCTGCCACCCTGTCTCCTGCTCCCATCTGGCCTGTGCTGAGCCTGGGCCCAGCCTGGGGACCGAGCCACAGCAGGCAAAAGCATGTTGGGTGTTACGGGGCCTTTCTAGGGACACAGGCAGGGGTTCTGGCTGTGGTCCTCGAGCCAAGGAAGGAGGAAGCCCAGGGCTGAGCTCCCCAAGGCGATCCCTGGACCTGGTCTCCTAGACCTGCACGGAGAGGCACCTGTTCTCCCCTCCTTCCCGGACTGGCCTGGTGGGAGCAGCTGGAGTGGGCAGACCCCGGCAGTGACACAGGTGAAGAAGGGTCTCGCGGTCCTTGGCAGTGACCCCGGTCCAGTCCCAGAATGTGACTGGTAACAGTCCCTCAGCCGACATTCCCCTAGACTCTGCTGGTCGCTGGCCAGGCGCACCCTCGGGGCCGCAGCCGTGGCCTCCCTGTGGTCCCAGTTTCCAGCTGAGAGGTCCAAGGTTTCACCAAGGTCACCAGTGCTTTCTGGTGCCATCTGCCCCTGCCAGCCAGCCGGTGCCCCCCTGCTGCCCAAGCCTGGCTGTCGCTGGTGCTGCCCTGGGGCTCCTTGGGGTCAGCCGTCAGAGGCCTGTGCTATTGGGGTGAGGCCTGAGCTGGGTCTGGCATCCGGGCCATCTCTACGGTCAAGGCCATGGCATTTGAAGCCCAGACCACAGGGGCCTAGGGCTTCCTCTGGGGCAGGCCTTCCCCCTCCCCAGCGGATGCTGGCCCTGTGGGAGACCTTGGTCAAGTGGGAGCAGGCGGGCTTGCCTGGTGCCAGGAGCCTGGGGGACCAGCAGCCTGGGGGTGTGCTTCAGAGAATGGCAGCTCCCGTCAGCTGCGGCCGGCCCCAGAGCCCGGCTGTGTGGGTCCAAATCCAGTGAGGAGGACCTCGGCAAGCCACCGAGAGGAGTAATGGGGAGGGATCATATCCAGGAAGCCTTGGCATGATGCTCTCAGAACCATGACCCAGAAGAGCGGGTGGATGGAGGGCCCGGGGGCAGCTGCTGCGGGGCGCTCCTCTTCCGAGGACCCGGTTGGAAGAACAGCCCACCTGCTTCGCTCGCTCACGGTCCAGGCTGGCTGCTGTCCTTGTGGGGGATGCGCCTTAGAAATGGGTCCGCTGACATCACCGTCAGTGCTCTGAGCAGCCCCAGAGAGTCCCAGGGAGGAGAGTGTCAGCATCGGCGGGGGGGGGGGGGGGGGGGGG